CACCCTGTCCAGCCAGAGAGGGGTGCAGGATGAGGCCATTGGTGCTGGCTCTGTGTGAGTGCCTCTCTGTGATGTGTGTGGCCAGCCATGTAGACGTGTATATATATATATATGTGTGTGTGTGTGTGTGTGTGTGTATATCTGTGTGCTCTATACTGTGCATGTGCTGAGGGCGTGGAGCAGCAGCAGCTTCTCCTCTCGGGCTGTTGGATCCAGCATGGTGTCTTTAACAACTCAGGACTGTGCCAAGTGCTTAAAACCATATAATGTGCAGCAGAAATAACAATAGTGATCTGAGAATTGGCATTCTAAAATAATAATTATTGCTGCTTCATTTCTTTTGTGCTGTTGTCACTGAGGCTGTGTGTGGGCTTTTTGGGGCAGCTGGGAGAAGCAGAAGAGGACTCTGTACATGACAGTGACCGTCACACAACTGCTGGAGATGGAGGTTTGGTACAAGCTGATTATCATTAATTCCCAACCAGCTAATGAGAGACTGTTGCTAGTGCCCTTTCATTGGTAGCAGAGCTGGTAAGAGCCAGGTCTGGTGGTTCCTCTGATGCCAGGCAAGCCTGAGTGACCAGAAGGGCTCAGCCCACATAACTAGTGCTGGAGTCTCCCTCCTGTTTGAGCACAGGGATGATCTGGTAGCATCCCACAGCACCCAGTCTTTGGATGCTGTGCACCTCTTAAGCTCGCTAAGGCACCCACAGAGTGCTTGGAAATCCATCCCTTGAACAGACAGGATCCAATGGGAGTTGCTTGTTCACTTCCAGGAGCACAAACGAGCCCTGAAGTAGCAAAGCGTGTTATTCCAGCGCAGCCGAAACTGCCAGGAGTGCCCCTGCTAAGGCTGGAGAGGCAGGTTTAATGCTTCTTTTGATACACAGCAGAAGCATTAATAGGAAGCAAGGAGCATTTATCAGACACCTGAAGCACTGGCCTGTGTGTGGCTGATGGGAGCCAGCTGCAAATGTTTATATATGTGCCCTTGCAGGGGGAGCAGGGAGGAGGTTTCTCTGCTCTAAGGAAGTGCTGTGTAAGCTGCAAGTGCATTTGGCTGGGGCTGCTGGGCTCTGGCCTGTGTCACTCGGGCTGGGCAGAGGGATGGGGCACTGCAGTGAGTCAGTGCTGGGTTGTGAATAAATGGCCAAAGGAAGCTCAGTGGAGGGCAGTGACAGAGCCCCGCTGGGCAGAGAGCAGCTCTCCTCGGGCATTACACCAGGCTGACTCCATCACCTGGGGCAGCAAAGGGAAACCCCAAAGCAAGGATGAATTTTCTCTGCGGCGTCTGGACTGCTCGGGTGCATTCCTGTATCCAGCACTCACATGCCCTGCTCGCTCCCTTTTTGTTTTCCTGGGGGAAATAGCAGCACAAGCCTTCCTCCTGTGCCATGTGTCTCCAGGGAGCTCACAATTTCCTTGTGCAGCTGGGAGCATCTCTTAGCAGTGCCAGCCATCTCACCCCCGCAGCGTGGCCCCTGGGTACCCGTGCTGTGGGAGACGGGAGCTGCGGGGCCCTCGGGAACAGCCTCTCACAGATGTCATGATACCAGCCTGATCTGCACTGCCAGCTGTCACGTCTCCAGGCACCTTCCCTGCAAGAGGACGTGGGGGGACAAGTGCCACGGGAGCAGCAGCACCCACGAGCGCTGGGGATGGGTCACCACGTTTGTCTTCTTGCTGCTCAGCCAAGCGTCGAGTTCCACAGCTGCTCCCTGGGCGCGGTTTAAAATCCTGCGCGCACGTTATTGCCGTTCTCCAAAAGGTATTTTGACAGGGCTCTGTGATAGACTAATTAGAAACAGTCACTTAAAATCCACATCTGAAATGCGTTGTGGAACTGAGGTTCAAGGAGTGCAGGTTTGCTACAGACGCTGGATTCCTAAAGAACAATTTCCCACACCTAAATAATGATGTTTTCCATCATGTTACATCCATTAGCTATAACTTGGCAGTCGCATCCATCATAATATGGTATTTCGGGGAAATAAATGAGTGTATTTTTCTCTGTGAGAACCAAGGCAAAAATATCTCGCTGCTGAAATATCAAGCAGCTTTATACAGTTAGACCAAGTCCAGATTCTTGCTCTTATGTGTTGATTCAGCCATTAACATGGAACACAGACTAGACTGCTTTCTCCTAACCCTGTAACTTCAGAACTAGTATCTTCATAGCTACTACTTATTAAGCTTGATTTTAAACCATGCAATTAGCTCCCCAGCAATGTTATTGAACAATATCATGCCTCTGCCAGAACCAGCCTGCCTGTATTTGTATCTGTTCCCAAACAGCCGAGGCACTTTTTAGTCTCCTTGTCTTGGGAGGGTGTTGGCTTTCCCTTTGCTTTCAAAAAGCATTTCAATTGCATTTCCCAAGTTGTTTCCCACCATGTGCCAGCAGGTCCCCGATTTTCTATTTCCCTGAACAGGGACTCGGGTGGTGCATTTCAGAAGGAAGAGTGACACAGCTCCATACACATATGCTTTCCCTGGTTTCCCCGTGCTGTTGATGGGAAGAGCATTGATGTTCCCGTCGTACTCCGTCAGCGTCACTCCTGCTCTGCGTCGGAGCGGGATGCGCTGCTCCGGTGGGATGAGCCAAGGAGGAGGAGCGGAGGAGTGTTCTGCTGTGCCCCAAGCAGCACCCCTCACGTGGGCTGCCCGGCTGTCCCTGGGTGCCTGTCCCCTCTCATTTTTCTGTCTGTAAACCAGGAATAAGTGCAGATCATCGTCCATCGTGTGAAGGATTAGCAAGCAGCTTGCAGTGGTGGCAGCACACAGAGCGCCAGGTAAAACCTGCCCCTTTGCCAGTTTGAGGGGCCCTACCCAGCACCTCCCAGGCTGGTGGGATTTGAAGTGGATTTACCACCCCTTGGAAGAAGGAGAGGGCCCATCTGGGCTTGATTTAAAACTGGCCCAGGCTGCAGTTTAACTGCATCCATGAGGCTGCTGATGTGAAACTGATCCTTGCCCTGGAGGAGGAACCAGCAGCTCCCAGATGCTCCCCATGTCCCTGTGGGCACTGCCCAGCCCCTCCGAGCCCCCCAGCCCTTGGAGAGATGGTGCATCGTCTGCTGGGGTGCAAAAGAGTTGTGAGGTAGGTGGACAATACTGGATGGGAATGATCAATCAAATATACCACTTCTATGCTCCAGCCACAGCGTTTGCCAGCTGGGAATCCTTTTCCTAAATCACTGTGGGGGGAAAACTCATTGGGGATTGTAGTGGGCTGTCACTTTGCCTTGCCCTGTGGTGCAAATGGGAGTGTACTGTGATGAAGAATCCTATGCTGATTGATAAACATTACACAAACAGCAGAGACTTTGGAAAACGTTCCAGTTAAAGATTTTCGGTGATATAATCACAGGATATTCAAAAAGCTTGATTCTCAGTGAGCCTAATCAAAGGGAAGTTCCTGAACCTCAGCTACAAAGTGAGACCACATGCTGGAACAACACGAGCGCTAATCTCAGGCTTTAATAGACTACAAGAGCAAAAAATGCTCCTGGGACGACAGCAATAGACGCTTCACGGGGAGAGTGAGCAGCAGAGAGGAGCAGGCTCTGGAATCAGCACCTTCCTCTTGCACACCGGGTGCTGATACAGAGAGATGAGAAACACCAACGGGATCTTCTGCTTCCAGCAGTGCTGCTCCCATTGATTTCTAAAGCAATAAAATTGGCCTTTAGTCAACCACTGTGAAGTTGCACAAAGCATATTTGATGGATTACACCTATCAAAACTTTTAGCGAGAGGAACAGTTACAATTAACAGGCTGCGTACAGGATCTTCTCCACAATTTTCTCCCTGACACCCTCAGTAATTACCTGCACTAAACGTGCTGCTGCTGCGCAGGGGCTTGTCAATCAAGAGGCAGCTCAGACTCAGAACATTATAAATTCACTGTCATAAACTTTGCTGCCAGATTGAAGGAGAAGCGCTGACAGAAGGATGTGGAGCATCCGCAGGGCTTCCCATCCCTCCCCGTGCCCTTGTGGTTGAGGATGAGGAGGGAAATTACCCCGGAGCTGTGCCACACACACACACCCTGGCTGAAAATGCCAGTACTTCCAGCTCTCCAGGAGAGCCATCCCACAATTACCTTCTGTGAGCCTGGCAGTTCCCTCCACTGGAGAGATACAAGGTTATTAAGCAAATATGATTAATGAATAAAAGAACCTCTGGCATGCTGGAACGAGGCTCCGAGGCCTGTCGGGCTCCAGGAGGATTCGTCGGCTTGTGCTTTGGGAACTGCACAGATTTCTGCAGTAATATGATTAACACGCTGTGTAATGGGCTAAATCCATCCCAAGTGTCCCTCCAGTTAAGCCTCTGTGTGGGCACCTGGGATGAATTTGGCCCTTTCACAGTGGATATACTTGACAGAGCCATATTGCTGAGCTGGAAAAAAGGAGGGTACTGAGTTACTGCTACAGCTGGGGAGGGGGATGGCAAAAAGGATGGAGAGAAGGGATGGATCTGGAAGGGATCCAGGCCAGCCCCTGCCCTCACCACCCTCCCAAAGCACAGGGAGGGCTGTGGGTTGGAGCAGATGTGCCTGCTCTGCTGTGCCTTCCATCCCCGTGGACAGCTGCCACGCCAGAGCCCGTGTGCCTGCTCTGCCGTGCCTGCCATCCCCGTGGACAGCTGCCACACCTTCCAGCCAAAGCCATGGGACTTGGCCGTGGGCTTGTCTGCCACGTGGCGCTGCCTTTCCCAGCTCCAGAAAACGCGGAGCTGCCAGACCTCGCCAGCTGGAGGAGAGGGAAGGATGGGGAGCGCTGCCTTCCTTATCTGCGGGGCCAGATTGTGAGCAGCTGTGGGCAGATAAAGAGCGATGGAGATCGGCTGGAGGAAGGCATTTGCTTCCCCTGCAAAGCAAACTCTCTCTCCGTTTTCCCAGTATACTCTGGCAGCAGCTAGGCTGTCTTCTGGGCAGGGAATCTTCTCTGCTGCAGGGGTAAGAGCAAGGGGATGGATGATGTAAGAGCAGGAACTTGAGTGACTGCCTTCAGTTTATTTGCAGGCTACTGCTTTATCTCGCCCTGTGGGGGCTGCTGCTGCTGCATCCTGTCACCCGGGATGTCCCCCACCAGAGTGTCCAGGCCTGGCCACGGGGTTTGCTCCGCTATGGGAATGCTCTTTCATAGGTAGGCTCTGTCTTGCTGTCATGTCCTATGACAGCAATAATTGCAATATGATATTTCTTACCCCTTCCAATGTACCTTCCATTTTGGGCGAGTTCCATGTTTTTGTGCTGTTTTAATAATTTCCAGCAAGTGCCTTTGTTTTGCAGCCTCAGATAGTTTCATGCACATGTTCACTGTGGTGCCTTGCAGTTCACTTCAGTCTTGTAGTTCCTGAGTGCTCGCAAGGAATCAAGTCATTCAGAGCAACTGCCTAGAAAGGGATTAATCGCAACCAGACCTCGTTAAAATCCCGTTGCCACACCAATTCCCCACACTTACAGAACCTGACCACAGTGTGAAAATTGATATTTATGCTGAGGAGTGTCAATGCACTGCCTGTGCACCGTTCACTGATTTACTGTCCTCTGGGCTTTGAACTCTGGGGATGCAAGTGAGATGCGCTGCTCAATTTCCAAGCCCCCCAAAATGAAATAACTGCCCACCTGGGCCCTTGGGCACCAAATGTGATCAGCATGTTAATGCCACTGGATTCTGTGGATGATCAGCCTGCAGCTTCAAGTTGTTGCCTGATTTCTTGCAGCCCTATTCCTGCACACTTGTTGAACTGGATGAAAACAGTAGCAGAACAGCCAGATTTTGCGATAGGGATTGAAAATCTGCTGCTGGGAGTAATTTAATTTAATTTCATTCCTTTTGGCCTGTGGTCTCCCTCCGTCCTGCTGGCTAATGGGGGACAGCCTTGGTGCACTGGTGACAGATTTCCAAGGAATCCAAAACCATTGGGGAGAGGCAATGTGACCCTCCTGGGGAGCTCCTGGGGACCAGTCTTCTCCTGGGGCATCACATCCCACAGCTGGTTGAAGAGAGCTCCTTCCCAAAGGCCAGGGATGGGTTTCAGTGTTTGTTGAAAATGATAAAAATCTCTCTTAGCTACCAGGATTGTGACACAACAAAATAGAAATTTTTGTGATATTCTCTGCAGTGGAAAAAACTCTGCAAAAGAAGTGTCTGTTGGCTTTGAAAGTAGCTCGCTCCAATACTCTTACCAGATGGCCGGCGGCTCCCAGCGAGTGGCTGGTCTGTACTCGCAACCCTTTAGCTCCCGTGGAGACCTGAGTGTTTTGTTGGGAGAGAGCAAGTTCTGCCTGAGATTGTGGCCGTGGCCTTGCAGGGTGCAGGAAGGGAGAGCGGGAGCCTGACAGTCCACACCTGGCAGGGCACACCTGGTTGCCCAGCCTCGTGCAGTACCCGAGGCACTGGCGTGACATTTACACTCTGCAGCTCCTCCACGGGATGCTGCTGTGGCCTGGGTGGAGCATCTTGCTGAAAAGGATGCCAAGGCACAGAGGCTGGAGCAGGGGGCAATGGGAGCTGAGGATCCTGATGATTGTGATGTGACCAGTAATGGATCTGTTAACGTAGTCTCTGCACCTAGGGAAGGCAGGTTTATTTCTGTACCTCTCAGGAGACAGGCTGAAGCTATTATAAAGTTATTAAGCTATTATTATACGCAGGTATTAAGGCTGAATGAAGAAGTCAAGCGATATGAGGGTGTATGAAAGAGAAACCTCAGAGGTGTGCAGAAGACAGAGGAAGAGATGGTGAGGCATTTGTAGTGGGAAGGGGCTGGTTTAGCTGTGGGATCAGCCAAAGCTGGAGAAGATAAACCTAAGTCACCTCTGAGCTCTTGACAAGGTGTGTAAACCATTTCCTTCTGCCAGCTGGCTGATTTGTGAGGATTCCTTTAAGGAGGTGAGCCCAAGAGCTGGCCCTGTGCTGAGGACACACTACTCACCAGATCACTAAACTCTGTTGTGCTCTGCAGCGTGAGCAGAGACCAGCCAAGCTCCAAAATGCAGACAAAAGCCCACCTAGGGTTCCACTTGTTCTTGGCCTCTGCAAAAATTATGTCCTAGTCTGCAAAGCTCGTGTTTTTTGGTGTGAGCAAGCGTGCAAAGTCTTTAAGGTCTGAATTCAAATAGCCAGCTGGAGGAGGGAAGCTTGGTGAGAAAGGAGGATGCTAGGTGGAGCTGGCATGTGGAGAGGATGCCTCAAAACCCAGTGTGGGTGGTGCCTTGGATCCACTCAGAGCTCAGAAAGTCTAAACACAGTGGGATACGGCAGCTGGATCTTTTTCCAGCAATCTGAGCATCCACCACAGGGAGCAGAGCCAGGGCTGTGACACACGAGTGCAAAATGTTAGTCAGAAAGGACAAATGGAATGTGAAAAACCACCAGAAACTCCCAAAGTGGGTCAAATTCCTTGATGCATCTAACAATAGCTGTAGGACGGGAAGGACGGGGTCGACTTGGTTGCGTGGCCTCCTGTGCCTCCTAAAACTCGGGGCTCAGCTGTGGGCCTGACTCCGTGGTGGTGAAATTCAAAGCAGGTGGCTGAAATCCTGGAAGCCACAGGCTCCAGCTCTGCCTCCTCCACCCGGGGCCTGCCTGGCATAATATTATCTTCACGCCTGAGCGAGGAGGACTTGGCTTATTAAACTTGCAAACCTGCCTTGCGCTTGCCCTCGGGTATTCAGGGCTGACGGGTCTCTGGGGCAGGATGCTCTAATGCTACTTTTACGCCACGTCTACCGCAACGAGGCCTCCTTAATTGGCTTGTGGTTCCCACCAGCACTGCCAGCGAGGAGCGAGCGGTGGAGAAAAAGCTGCCAGCGCCACAGCTCCCGCTCGGTGTTGGTGCATCATTAGCTCACATGTTGTCTCTCTCCCCAAAGACAAACACGCTGCGTCGCCAAAAAGGTCCGCGGGGAGGATGCGCTGCAGAATCCAAGCACAAGAAGTGGAGGGGGGGGGGGGCAGAGGCAGTTCTCATCCACAGCACATTCCCCTTCCTGGTCTGGTTTCTCTCCTCCACTGAATCCTTGCAGTGAAATTTCCTTTTTTTTTGTTTTTTCTTTTTTTTTTCCCCCTCTCTGTTTTTTAAAGAACAGCCCCCCCCTTCCTCCCTGCTTTAATCACTTTAAAACAACCCCGGAGGAGCGAGGCTTGGGTAAATAAATGTGGGAACCAGGGGAGTTCTTGAACTGTTAAAGAAATCAATATAAATCAGAGTAACCTTGCCCTGATGTCTTCCTTATCACCTCTGAAGCTCTACCTGCCTTTGTCTAACAACAATCTCAGTTAATTAGATAATTAATCTAATTATCTAATTAGGTGGAATCACTAATAGCTATTCCACCTAATTAGGCCAGTGGCTGTATCTCAGCAGTGGTGGTTCACTCTTTCTGGCTAACCCTGCACCTTCTGCCTGAAACCAGGCTCTGACACAATTCAGGCTCTTTCTTTGCTTTAACCAAAGCCACCTGGAAACGGTTTTTCATTTTTTTACTCAGGCTTTCCTTGAATGAAAGCAAGGTGGCCAGTTGGAAAGTAGAAAAGGAAGCTCTTAGACGATTAATTTTTTTAGCAATGGATGCAGGAAGCTCTTCATTGTTTTAACTCATTCTCCTGATGCAAGATTAATTTTAGCTCTGAGCACAACAACCTGTTATGAATTGATCCTAGGAAAGCGTATTGCTCTGAGGCTGGGGAAACAACATAAGTAGCTTTTTCCCCCTTTTATTTGGACAGGTCTAGCTAACTCATTGCTGCAGTCCTTCCCTGCAGAAACACGGGTTGCTCTCTCGCAGCAGCTTTCCCAATCTGTCCTATGTGTGACAGCACGAGGGAGCTGGCCAGAATTAAAACCAGCCTGAGGCCTTTGGTCCCCCTGGCAGCAGGGTCCCACTGCTCATCTCTGCAGGGATGCTGTGGTTGGCAGCACCACGACACTGGTTTTGGACCAGTCATGGCAGCACCTCTGGAGCTGCTGGTGCCTTTGGGGCTGCAGAGCCACCATACGGCACTCATGGGTTTATTTTCCCCTTAATGCCTAAATTGGATTTAAGGGCATCTTTGCACATTCCAAAACAAATCAGCAGCTGTCTGCAAGCCAGGCAGCCGGACCTGGCCCTGAGAGGAGATCAGTGTGCTCAGGCTTCGCCCCCAGAGCTCTGCTTTCTCAGGATCCCACCCTGTGCACCAGCCTAAGCACAGGAAAAGCCATTCAACATCTGAGCAGTCAGCAGTTTAGGCTCTTCCAGTCCCAGGAATGTTTAGTGGCTCACACCATCACCATCTGCTGCTGGAGAGCCTTGGTGGAGCCCCTCACACCTATAGCCACAGCAGGCACCACTTGGTGCAGCGTGCAGGGAGGGAGGCACTGGACTTGGATTCAGAGTCCCTGGGAACCCTGGATGGAGTCCAGATGAGGTAAAATGGCCAGGTAGGTTCTGCAAGAGCATTTCTGATGTAGACCCCTTCTCTCACCTGGAAATGCTTCCTTCCTGTAGTGGTCCCACGTTAATCTGCTGCAATAGCATCCAGACCTGTGATCTGGTTCTGGGGAGAGTCCTGCTCCTGCCTGCATCCACCTGCATGACTGGGATGATGGGCAACACATGAATCTATGGCTTTTCATTTTGCTTTCTCTGTATTTGATTTGTTTGGTTTGTTGGGGTTTTTTGGTTTGTTTTTTTTTCTTTTAATATGTGTATATAATTGAAGCACCACAAAATGTCTCCTTGAGGTAGCTTGATTTTTCTTTAAAAAAAGTTATATATTATATATAGATATATATTTTAACTGCTTGGAGCAAAGTTGTCTTGGCATTTTCATTTTGAAACCCCCATATTGAGGTGTTTATTACAGCATCGTGAAAATTCACGTTTAGTTGGAACTTGGCAAATGTTTTTTGGCTTGAAGCAAGTTTTCCTTTGAAGGGGTTTACTATTAAGTGTTTAAGGTTGTTTTTTTTTTTTCCCTTTCTCTCAATTTTTCTTTTGGAAAAGCAACACCTTCCAGAACTGGGTTCAGAAGCAGAAGGCCAGCTCTGCAGCAAGTGTGAAAGCTGCGAGTCGAGCACAGAGCCGCAGCCATTCATGCTTTTTTCTGACATCTGTTCAGGGAATGAGAGGAAGGGAATTCAGCTGTACTCCATGAGAAAAGAGGCTTTTCTGTTGTTGTTGTTGTTTTGGTGAGTCTTGAGTAGCTGCACTCCCACCAGATGCCAGCAATCCTAATGCCAGCTGCACAGAGCACAGCATCTCTGACTGCCTGGAGCTGGTCCTTTCACGTTCCCCAGAGTGAGCCAGATTTGCTGTACCTGGAAGAAAATCGAGTGTGCAGCAGGCTTGTTGCTGCTCTGTGACTTAGATGTGTATTGAACAACAACATTCCTGGCAGGGGCTGGGATCATGTTGTTACAGTTCCACTGGAGTAAGCGCAGTCACTGCTGATCTGGTTTTGCTGCTGCCTCAATATCGATGACACAGTCTATGCTTTAAACTCACAAGCTTTTCTTCTTCAGGTGTGCAGACCCATCTTTTGTAATGTGAGGACGTGCAGGTAGACAACTAGGTTTATATAACCTGTGCAAGCAAGCTGCACATCCCACAGAGCCAGGAGCAGGAGTCACCCACACAGTCTCCTCTGTTGGGCAGCAAGGCTTTCTTCATCCCTGCCCTGCAGGGAGAACTCTCTGTGAGGCTGAAGGGGTGTGTGCACAGAGGCTCCTCCACATGCTGTGTTTCCACGTGCCAGGGTGGGTGTGTGAGGAACAGCCTAGAAAATGGCATTTGGCACTAGGGGGAAGGGGCTGTTGCTGCCCAGGGGAGCCCAGTGTGGCTGCCAACCTCCTCTGCCCCTTTTCAGCCTGCAAGCTGTGGGGTGGGTGAGGATGGGGATGGACAGAGCAGACAGACAGAGCTCAGGCAGCTCATCAATGGGACCAGCCTTAGTGGCCTTGTTCCCACATACGGAGGTGAACACACATCTCCACAGAGAGACAGGACCTCCCTGCTGCCTGAGCCTGTTTCTAAACCTAAACCCAGAAGGGATGTCTTCTGAGATTCTGAAATATTGTAGACAGGGCTGAAGGTTGGGTTTTTCCCCCAGTTTCAACCAGCAGCCAGAAGTGGGAGTACCAAACTCTCCAGAGTGAGCCTGCTTTCTCTGGCTCTACCTTGCAAACTCAGGAAGTTTGAGGAGGTCTGATAACCACTCTTACCCTTGCTTATTTATCAGCTTAGTCTCCACCCGAGGGCGTTCCCAGGGCCCTACCTGAGCTGGCTTTGCTCACACCACGGTGCTGGCTGGCTGCCACAGCACTGCTCCCTGTGATAGGACAAACCACCACTGGTACTTTTGGTCCTCTGCTTCTGGTGCCGTTTGAAATGTTTTGCTCTGCCGTTGAAGTGGCCACAACAAAACTGTGTTTGTCCTGTGAAGATACCAGCTGGTTACCACCATTTTGTATCACAGATTGAACAGTTTCACTGCAATATTTAAGGTACCTGTCTGGAATACCTGTGGTTGGACAAGTGTGGGTTTGGCTTTTTTGTGCTGGGGCTTTTCAGCCCCTTCCACAAGACATAATTTGCTTAGGTGATTGAATTGCAATGCTGATTTTCTCTCCCCCCCTCCTCATGTTACCCTAATTTTTTTTTTATATATATTTTATTAGTGTTATTTTTTGACACTGTGCTCCCATGTATCAATGCTATGCATTACACAGATCTACTGATCATTTTCTACTTGCCATGTTTCACTAGTCTGTTCAGCAGCTTTGCATCTTTCCTCGTCACAGGCTTTCAACACTCTACAAACAGCATGAACCTAGGAGATCAAGGTGCTTTTTCCTGGTTGCCAGCATCTAGCCCAAAGGGGGAGGCAGATTTGGAGACATTGCTTGTTTCTATGGATAATAATCAATAAGACCCATTAGGGAGACAAGTACATACATCACTAAACTTTGACCTCTGCTCTCCAGAGTAGTCCCAAGATGCCTATTCATATGCTGGTGACATCCAGATTGCGCTGTTGCAAAAGCCTCTTTGCTTGGGAAGGGATTACAGATTTAAATTGCGCAGCCTTTGCTATCTGCACAGTACAGCGTGCAGGATGCTTAGCTAGAGCCTCTAGTTTTTGTTGGCTTTCTTTTCTACTCAGCCAGTTTTATATTCAACGCTGTTGCACGCAGAGTGTTTTATGCCTCTCTACCTTTCAGGCTGTTTTTTTACTCCAGTCTGTCTGGCATTTTAAGGGTTTACAGACCCTGGAGATTCTTGGCACTGGCTGTTGCTTGCATATTGCTCCTCATCTTTCAGATCCTTTTTCTCCTACGTTGCTCTTTGGCGGGCTGTTTCTGATAGAAAGTTTTTGGCTGGCTGTTTGAAGTTCCTGATAGTCGGCATTTGATCACTTGCTAATTCAGTTCTAAAACTTTTTCTCCAAAGAAACCATGAAACACTATCTAAAAATAGATTAAAAAAAAAAAAAAAGGAAAACTTTAAAAATACCCTTATTTTGCTGAATACAGGAAGTTTTAAGTTTTCTGGGAGGAAAAAAAACCACATACCAAATTTAGAAGCAAATCGGAAATCCCTGGGTGTTTGAGAAATCCATTTCTAGGCACAAGAGCTGGATGAAGAGTTTTCTTCTGCCTGTACCTCTCCCCTTCCCTTGAGAGAACATCTACTGAAAATCTGTCGGCTGGGAATGAGTCAGATGAGATTATTTGCTGTGGGTGGGTGAGGAAGGAGAATCAGGACTCTGGTGACAGCAGTGGGCTCTGACCTCAGCGGGATCACAGGGGCAGGAGGGACTCTGATTCCTTCTGTAAGTGATCAAAGTCCATCTTTACATTGAGCGCCTTTGCTCCTCCCACTGCAAAGCTGTTTCTGTTCCTTGTTCCTCTGAAGGTTAGAAACAGATGTCT